ACAATTTCAGTTTAAGTTAGAGTCATAAAGGTTGATTGTTTATTATAAATTTATACTTTTAGAAAGTGAGAATTGAAAAGCAGCAAGTACTCAATGAAATGAAAAGAGGGATTAATAAAAATTATAAAATATAAACTTAGTCTGGTATGAAATTATAACCCTTAATCAACCTTTGATTCCATATTGATGCTCCAACATCTTAGATATAAATTTAAGTTTGATGCTGATTTTAAGTTAATATTTATGTCAATTAACTTTTGGTTATATCAGTGATTTGCTACTAGTTAATATGTAAATGCAAAATCTGTTTAAGTAAGAAATGAATAAACATTGTATGTTATGTATTTGTCAGTTTTATTTTTGGTAATTTACCTGTCTTGTTTAGTAGGAAAAGCCATTAAAGTGGTTAACAATATTAGTTTATTTTACAAGAATATACAGATAATGCATATATGAATGACCCGTACCTACTAATAGTTAGGAATATTAAACATACAGGTAGCAAAATAAAAATGTTTCAGTTATGGTTATTTTTTATTAAAATAAGGCACCAAATATCTTCCTTAACATAATGCAGTCTACATAGAAAAATAAGCATATGTAACAACTTATTAAACAATACAGACTTTACTACTGAACACACACAGGTGCACCAAATTCAATGCATTACTACCTAATGTATGTATTCATAATATATATGTTTAAATTAATAAATGTAAGTGTTAATTTGCAGCAATGTCAATATCTTGTTTGTGTGCTGTCATATACAAAAAAAAATTCAATTCATAAAACCTAACGTAAGATGTTATGATTTCATAAAATTACTATGATACCTACAGTTACTATGAATACATCCTGGGTGATTAAAAAAATAGTGATTGTTTCCTTAACACAACAATTGTAAATAATAATAGTTATTGTAAAGATATAATTCTTCCCAAAATCTACAAATGCAGTTTGTTTATAATAATATCTCATTAACATTCAAACTGCTGAACTTATTAAGATTAAATGTGGAAGAACATAGTTTCAGTTACTGTTTCCTGTTCATGAGGTAATGTTACTTAACCAACTGTTATTTCATACTCCACTTGTCTTATTTTTTACATTATTCATAAAATGCTTCATTCCCCATTATTAAATTCATTTTCAGGTACATAATATAACACTTAAATTAATTAAAAGATAAGACTTTAATGAATCTTGTCCCTTTTTTGTTTTTTTAAATATTTTTAGTTGTCTTATTAGCTTCTCTTTTTCTGAAAAGAAATAATTTTAGTTAGTACTTTGATCAAATAGAAAACTGACAAACTAAACTGTAAGATCGGTCCAAGGTTTGTTTTGTTCAATAGGTAACTTTAATATTAAAACTCTTTACTTAATTCTAAACTTAAAAATATACTTAATTTGTCACTTTGCTGCTTATTGTCAATTAAAGTTTTTAATAACCAAACAATGTCAGTAACTCCCAAGGGACTTGAATTCAAACTTCTCATTCATTAACAATATTATAATAACTTCTCTAGTATATTGACTTAGTAAATAATTAAAGAAAATATCTGCTTACCATTACTTAGTATTGCTCACTAGATTTTATATTTCCTAAGTTCATAAAGTATAAATCCACTTTATTTGATGAATTTAAATCAATATTATATCATTAGCTTCTATTATAATTACAATAAAATATATTTAGAACTTCTAATTATGTTCATTAGTGACTGCTTTCTCATCTGAAATATACAAATAAAATGTACAATCATTTTACTTTGTGATTACATAATATATGCAATATTAAATGGTTTATGTATTTTAAATTAAAGAACAATTTCATGAACTTGCATGCAATATAAATATCAATAAAAGATATCCAATATAACTAGGATTTACCTCTACTAATTTGCTGATTTTCTTGATATTTTCATATTTATCTGTGTCTATTATGTTATCCTCGCATTGATTCATAGAAAAACTAAAACGCTTAACTTAAAAATATTAACTCTAGTTTAAATTATTATAATTACACGAGAACGTTAAAAAAGACAGATAACAAATTAAAACCATTTCGTTAAAACGTCCAAAATATGACATGTTTTTAAAACGGTAGCCATTAAAGATGGCAATAGTTGTACTGAATTATTGCAAACAGCAGCTATTGAGATCACGCTAAAACATGGCGGAGAAACGCCGTTTTTTCTACACTGCCGAAACATTAATTGGCCGTTGGCTACCGAATAGCGTAACATTAAAGGCTGATTTACACGTATTAAGTTGCCAAGTCTTAACTAAATTTTAACTAAATTTCAAGTGACTTAATTTTAAGTAACCGTTTACACGTAAAAATACTAAATAATTAGTTAAACACATTTATTCGCTCAAGATGGACGACCACAGAACAAAATATTATAGGATTTTCTCTTCCTGATTGGGGATTTACTGTATTGTATGCTCCAATACATGATTGTGAAGGTTCTGGGGACTCAACGTAATACCTACGTATTTGAAGAAGGCGAAGGAGTAAAACGGCTACTATTATTCATTGGGGAAGGGGTTCTACTACTGTTCATTAATTGTTGTATACGCATATCGGACAAATAGTTTTGGATATGTTTTTGAGCTTCCAGCGCCGAAAGCAAAAGCATAGCTTTGCAATGACTCCGCCAGCTTATGCTTTTTACTTAAATTTAACTAAATTTTGCCTGTCCAAACGTGTCAAGTGATTAGCCACGCCCACCAACTTAACCGAAAAATAGACAAAATTCTATTCTACCTTGTTTAGTTGCAACTAAATTTTAACTTGCAACTTCTTACTAAATTAACTGTTTACACGGGTTAAGTTACTTAAAATTAAGTTAATATTTAGTAAATTTTTAGTCAACTTAATACGTGTAAATCGGCCATGATGTGTGTCTTTTCGTAGCACTGTCATGGCGTCGCTTATTGTATCCCGACTCACGCCTTTATGGTAGGGGAGCCCAAGAGGGGATTTCGGGATTTACTAAAGCGCGGCAGATTAATATATAGGGGGATACCTTGTACCCGGTTAAGTACCTCCACAAAATATGAGGCCCATATATAAGGCCGCCCGTGAAGGAGACAGGATCAGATTAGTAAAAAAAAATTGACCATCAGAAATTCCCGAGCGCGTCAGATTAAGGTAGGGTGAGTTAATTACATCCTAAAAAGTGTATATTCCACTAATCTGACAATTTGAGAGTGACGAAAAAAAAGGGGAGGGCAACAAAGTTGTAAAAAAAAAACGTCATCTCGACATTCTCGAGCGTAGCTAATTTTTTTTATTTTGAAGGAAATAATTCAAGAATAATGAAAAATATATAATCTGACGATTTCCGCAAGCCGAAATAACAAAAATTCGTCGATAAAGTTAAATGCGTGCAGCTGCGTGATGCCTACATTTCCTTAAACCGATCGGAATCTACTAAACGGCGTTCTAAATATTTCCCTCAAAATTACATTTCCTGTGAATTTGAATCGATTCGGACCGATAGATAGATTTTGAGAAATTTTGATAAATCTTAAAAAAATAAGATTTTTTTTTTAAAGTGGTTTCTTTATCGATCAACTTCAAAAACTAATTCGCCTTTGAGCTTGACAAACCACGTCGATCGCCACCAAGCTGGTCAAAAGCGGTTGATTAGTTCGAGAGATATCGTGAACGAAAGAAACCCGAAAAAGTGTTTTTTCGGGATTACTCCGAAATTTGTGGTTCGATCAATTAAAATTGCAAAATTACTTATGAGGATGATAAAACTGCGTCGAATGCCTTCAACCGCGTGAAAATTGCTTGATCCATTCAAAAGTTATTGCGGTTTGAAAATTCCAAAAATAGTGTTCTATGAAACTTCTATCAGACTTTCGAGCTGGGAAAATGCTCAAATGCATAGAAAAGTTATTTCTTTGAACTCAGCGAGCTCAAAATATCAATTTTAAGCGCCCAGGAATGGAATTAGCGGGAAGTTGCAGGGATGGCCCTTTAGGTGAACCGTTTTTCTAAATTTTTTTTGTCAGATCAGGCGAATCCCTCTAGATAATCGTCAGATTATGAGACAGTACGTTTAGAACATAAAGATGAACCACATATATCTTAATCTGACGCGCTTGAGTATTTTAAAATTGCGATTTTTTTTTTGCAAATTATGAAAATGGCCGTGGGTTTGCGTCCCATCGAAATCGTCAGATTAGTGAATGAGAGCTTTTTTTTGGTGCACTTAACACTTAGAAAATCTGACGCGCTCGATAATTTTTTTTTTTTTCATTTTCAACCCTTAAATACAACCACCCGCATCATGCAAACGATCAGATTAACATACGTACATTATTAAAAATACGTAGGGCATTGATGCTATCAATATCTGACGCGCTCGAGGATGTCCATGCAACAGTTTTTTTTACATATTTAACAATCTATAGCCGCTTCCCCCACCGATGAAAAGGTATATATCATATAACATTTTTTTCTTCTTATTATCTAAGCTTTGCATCCCAATAGGTCTCTACGACGCTCGAGTAAATCCCCATTTAGCATCGTGGGCTCCCCTACCATTAGGGCCTAGGCTACCGACTGTCGACACGAGCTGTCATTTTCATACAAATTTAGTTTTCGACTTTCTACATACACTACTGTTAAGCCATCTTGGCTAGACCCCCTGTTCCCCTACTCCGTTGTGGCTACTGGCTAATGGCTTATGCAGTGTCTGTGGTGCAGTGTGCACTGTGCAAGTTGCAGTTCAATTCGGTTTTTTCTTTTTCATTATTTTACATACTTACTAAATCGTAATTTTGAGTTAGCGTCGGAGGGTGAAATCTTTTTGCCTGACTTTTCTATATTTAATGTAATTATTTAGTGTTATGATTATCAACTTAATTGTAATATTGCTAAATTTCAAATAGTAGAATGTAACGCCAAGAGACTACTTAAGGACTTTTTGTTTATTTGCCGACCTTTTATTAGCTAAATGGAAAGTAGTAAGATTGTTAGAATGTCGGTATCGGAAGCAACAACGCCGAGCACGGCGGAGCCTCCAGCGGCAGCCGTGCCTTTTGATGAACGCGACCTGGAGCCGCGCACGCCGATGAAGCGTCTCGGTTCCACCAGAAAACTAGCCGCCTTTAACAGTATGTATTAAATTTTCCATTTTTAATATCTTATTGCCTTTTTGACTAATTTTATTATTTGAAATCAGAAAGATGGTTTTTACAGTTCCAAAAATCACACAATAGTGAATAGTGTTTGTGATACTCTTATAGTTAAGGGTTGAAAAACATAGATTCTAGGCATGATAGGATAACTTAAATTATGGCAAATGTTTATGGGTTTTTACTAATGAAGAAACATAAAACCATAGAATAGCATCAATTTTCATATTTCTAACTCTTATTTATATAATCTTTTAATTTGTTTTATATATTAGGCTAGGTGGTTGTATTAAAATCTCTGATTTTAGTGTAGTAAATGTAATTTCAGTTAATAGCTTTGTAATTAATGCTCATTAGTTGCTGCTAGGATGCCAAGGCATGCAAAGTTTATACATAATTAGAAACATATTGCTAGTGTCAACTCAGATTTCGGCAAAGTTAAAAAAATACTTGAATGAATATAAATATAGATAGGAGGAAAGCCAACCAAGAGAACAAGTAGGTTATTCCTTACTATACCCCTAACCATCCGCAAGGTACGGATTACTATACCATCAAGTACTCTCTTCAATTTGTGGGAATGAGACGAAAAAGTACTTTAGTACTGAAGAAACTGGACAATCTTTATATATATATATATATGACTTCTGTGCAAGTTTTTCTAATTGAATGGTGTCCATAAGGTGTCCATTGATGGAGATCTTCTTGGGTGTTGGGATGGTGCAAACTCGGAGAGTTGTATTTCAGAATTCCACCTGGCTACTGGTATCAAAGAAATATGTTTGTTTTTTACAATACACATGTAATACACTCTTCGTATTATATACCCTTACAATATAGACAGCAGCTGCAGCAGTATATAGTTCATCAATTAACTACTGTTACGAAGTCGTTTCTATTGTTAAGGTAGTCATCAGGCGTGGGGTAGTCAGTAGGCTGTCGAGATTGGTAGCTAACATTTTGCACCTGCGCGCCCGCCTCGCCGCACGCGTCACACTCAAACAAACATCCTGCGTGTGGTCATTAGCGGCTCCCGCGATTAGATTAAAATAAAACATTATTTTGACCAGATCACATTATATATACATCTTCGCAAACGAGTTTAATGCCAGTTCTCGTCCGTTCTTGGCCCTCGGAAAACTGGCAGTAAATGTAAATTTACAAGCATTGGTTTTTTTACTGACGTTCAAAATCCCATCCGACATTTACAATCCGAGCAAAACAATTTTGGTATTAACACCACTTACCCACTTAATAACGTCAGTGATCCGACAATCTGATGTGAGCCCATTGTCTTTGACCGCGATGTCAAATTAATATTTCCGTCGCAGAGAATGTTTCCGGTCGCGGGCAGGCGTACAACACGACTCTCAATTTGCCCGAGTCCTACAAATTCTGCTTAATATTCCTGCTTGTTCTCTGTCTGCATTTTAAGTCGTATGTTCTAAGTGTGTAATAATTCCCTTATTGATAAGGTAATGATGATTTATACGTTTTTGAATTTACAATTAATTAGGATATTCAGTAATATAAATTTAATTTAGCAATATTATGTTATCACGGAAAATTGTCAAAAAATTATGTCATTTTTCTTTCGAATGGTCATCGAGACAAGTTGGATAAATGTAAGAGAGGTTGACATGGTAGGAATGTGAATTGTATATCATTTTGTGCAGTGGGGAGACTTCACAAAATTTGGAAGAGACATATGTATTTTCATTATCTGCCGTGCACCCAGATAATTTTGAAAAATTCATAGTGTTTTAAACGTCAAACGCATTTTTATTCACAAAATCTTCGGTCTCTTATTGTCCATTCTTTCGCTCATATTCTCCCATAGGATCTCATAACCTTATTACGGCAATATATTTAATCGATAAACGTCTCTCAACTCTTTAAACATTAGTTTATTTTGTTCAACTATCAGTCGGGTAGTTTATTGCTTGAATTAAGATCACTTTATTTTTTTTTAAATTGACTCGATTTAAAATGTAATATAGATGTAAGGAAAACATAATATATTTTCCTATACAAACTCTTTTGTAATGTTGTCTTTGCCGTCTGATCGACGATGTTTAATTTATGTCACTTGACGATGTTTAAGATATTTTAATTATTTCATTATATTATTTTACTTTATAAAACCTAGAATATAGGCTTTAAATGTTGTTTCTTTTGTATTCACAGGTGAGTGAATAATTTTATGAATATATATTTTTTATTAAATGTAAATTAATAGATATTTCTTTTGTAAATAAATCTTTTGTATTCACAGAGAAACGCAGTTGCGCCTTATTTATTCCCAGTATAAGCGTTCGATACTATTATTTCTATTATTATAAAAGTTATTTTTTATTTTATTCTATTATTTTTGATTGCTTGTTAGCGATTGGCGTGGGCAGCGGTGCCGTCGTTGTCTCTTTATTTCTGAGTCGGAAATTTAAATCATTTGTACACCCTTCGAACCTCCTCATATTTAATAAGATATTTGAACGTAAAAATAATAGTTTTTTCTGCTGGGGGCTATATAAATAAATTGGCAGGATTGGTGACCTCTGAGTAGACTGCATGTCTGATGTCTCAGAGCCGAAAGCCGACGACCTACTAATATATTTATTAATCCACTTGCAAGATAAGATCTTGGTGATCTGATAACATTTAACATATGCACGACAAGGCTTATTTCTAAACGGACCGACGCGGTTTCTACCCCATTATCATTTTCTGTATATTTTCGGGGAAAATAATTCCTTTTTTAATAGTCAGCTTTACGTTTACATTAGTTTATTGAGATGATTACAAAATGTACGTCTCATTAATTGATATCGGTTGTTGATAATCCGTGATTTAACTGATTCGCATTGTCAATGGCGGCGTGGCGTGGTGGCGAATGGCGAGGGCCGGTGGTTTGGTCGTGATTCACGTGTGCTATATTTAGAATCCCGACGTTTTGAACTCGATTCTACGTCAACCCGATGAGTCCTGCGGCCGCCTGGCGCCTCTCGGCTTCCCCGTGTGAACTCCGAATTGTAATCAAAATTCATGATCAAGATGGCACGTTTTGTTTCTATACTTTCCTTTTATTATTTATAGCCTATTAATAGGTCCGATGTATGATGTAATTAAAGGAAAAACTAAAATGTTTAACTTGTTTTATTGTAACGCGAACACCATGCAGTTTTGTATTTAAATAATACGTACATGTTATATATGTATTTATATTTTTTTTATAAAAAGTGTTATTTAATGGAAACATTAATTATTTTAACATACTTTTTAGTTTTTACCAAAATAAGAGACAATCAACTTTATTATATAACTAGTTACATTTGAGGTAAAAATCATCACATCAATCACAGTGGTTCAATTTCCCTCATTTGTAAGTTTTTAAGAGTAGATAAGTAGACGGATCCAGAATTTCTTAGAATATTTTTATTTTTATTCTGATGGTTGAGCCATTCGGCGATCACCAAATTTGAAATTGACGACGCAGAGGTTGATTAATTCTTATTCTCTTTATTATACCCATGAAAAGAATTTTGCGTTCGAAGTTGTTCTGCGACGAAATTGGGGTCTCGGACAAGACTGATTCAAAAGAAGATCTAGAAACGGAACATTAATAGGAACGGCGTGTCAGCGTGCGTAACAATCTTAAAAGTCAAGTCAAAATTACTGGATTTTATTAACCACAAACAATGATAACTGGTGCTACTACTAAAATACTTTTGAAATTATTTTGACAGTAGTATTAGTTGGAATTATATCGAGTACTACTTATTCGATATAATTCCAAGCAAATATGTACTTACCAATTAACTTGTCCAGTATTATTGTGTTATTACACTATCTTATCAACCAAAGAACGGTCGCCTGTCACAACTCTGCCTGAGATCGTTGCACTCTCATGGTGTGCTATTGCCATAGATGAATTAGTGATGTTACAGTTATGACTCTTTTGGAGAGTGTAAAGTGAGAATTTGCGATATTTTTGTGACCACTTGTACGACGGTTGGTCTGATTGACTGACGGGATTACTTTCAATGCACAACAATTTCGTTTGTATCTGAATTGCTAAAGTTGTATTCAATATTATCATTATTTCTTCCTAATGACGAGTTGTTATAAAAGTTTTTGTACTTAAGTGCACTCTTTTTTTGGTTGAAAGCTTACCTTAATGCAAACATATTTGTAAATGATGCTAAGGGATGAAAAGCGAATTCCGCGAGCCGAGCACGCCGGCCTCATACGTCATTGTACCTCATCACTATTGTTGAGGCTATTTTGGTCGTAACGACTCTATTGTCAGACTACTTTGACCGATTACTCGGACTGGGCTTCCCTAGGACTGTTCGTATAGAATAGCTTTATTTTGTTTAAAGTAGAATGGTCAACCGCATACGGAGCTCTGCATTTGGAATTGAACAATGGAAGCAATATTCATAAATAAATATAAAGCGAAATCTTTGCCTCGGGTACGGCGACTCTACAAAATACAAATAAACGCGTGATGAGTTCGTATAGCTTACCGTCTCCAAATGACTATTCGTAAACAAGTTTTAATAAATCTAGTTGCTTTAAAATCGAAACGCACTGTTTATTCCGCTGGAACTTCGAATCGCGATATTTAGGTAGTCTGATCTAACAGATGGTGCATCCGTTGACGCGAGGAAGAATAGTCCTTATATCCTGTGCGCGCGCAAACTTGCGGGGTCACGTGAAGTGGGGTGTATTTTAGCGAAACCTCGGAGGCTGCGCGGCGTCAGTGGAGGTTCGGCATCCGACCATGTTCCAGTGCATAGTGCAGCCGCGTCCCGACTGGGGTCCGCCCGACGTCGCTAATGCATTTCCCGGTACGCCCTAAACCATGTGTTGCCAAGTGATGCGATTTCGAATGAAACTGATTTACATTTTATTCAAATCGTTTACGTTTACGCTTACTGATTTCTCTTGCATATAGAATTAAGGAGGTGGACTCGTGTTGGAGCGGCTGCACAGTAGCCCGCCCGGCTTTGTTCACCGATGCTCAATCGCTACAAAATGTACCGACGTGAATTTGGTAGACACACAATTTAACAAAAACAAAAATTAAAATCATGCTTTTCTGTTAATTCGTTTTATTCAAAGCAGTCATTTGTCGTTCCCGCCTTTAATGAAAACCCAAAAAATATGACCTTTTAAAAGTAATAATTAATAAAATGTAATAAAGCTGCTAGACCTAACGACAATCAAAAATCTTAGATTAAAATTATAATCTACAATTTGGTGCATACTTTAGGCAAATGAAGTAAAGTTGTGAAGTGTTATATTCTGTAATTATAGTAGGAGCAGCACAACTAAAACCTGAGTAGCTTAATTTTTATCAAAAAAAACACTTGTTACATATTTATTTGCTTACTTTCTAATGCTGTGTTTTATGTCTTCTAGTACAGTATTGTCTTTGCGATTATCAGCGTCTCTCAAAAGCTACAAATAAAATAAATCATATATTATACAAGATATAATCACAATATAATATATAGGTCGAGACTAAAAATAAACAAAGGTCAACCTTATTTACGTAGCCGTGGGCAAGAAGGGGCTTCGAGGACCGTGAAAGGTTCGCCTCGATGAACGTCGTGAAGACCGTGAAGAATTTAAACAATGATAAAATTCTAATAAATTAAATGGTCGCAGATATTAGGACTCAGCTGGCGGAGCAAGCGAAAGCGGTGGAGGGGCGCGCCGACGCGGCGGCCGGCGTCGCGGCCGAGCTGGGCGACTACTGCCGCCGGCGCGCAGATCTCGAACACGAATACGCGCGCGCGCTCGACAAGCTAGCGCGCGCCGCAGCCCAGCGCCATCGCGACCAGCGCCACAAGCGAGAGCAGTGGCCGCTGGCCGGAGCCTACGCTTGCTGGCAGGCCGCCCTCGACGCCACGCGCGCCCTGGCCCGCGATCACGCCGCGCTGGCGGACCTCTACGGCGGGCCACTGGCCGCACGCCTGCATCGCGCCGCAGACGACGTGCTCCGTCTGCACCGCAAGTGCCGCGACCTCGTCGCCGAGCGCCAGGAGGATATCGCCGCCGCTCTCGCCGAGGCGGCGGCCGCCGGCAAGGCGCACGCTGCCGCAGCGCACGACTGGCGGGCCGCGGCGCTCAAGCTGCGACACGCGCACGCGGCGCGCCAGGCGCTCGCCGCCGCCGACCCGCCGAGGAACAAAAAGATCAAGGCGCTCGAGAAGGAACTCGACAAGGTGACCGAACGTCTTCTCTCCTCCCGTAGTAATAAAACAATCGAGACTAAAATAATATCAACGCGGTCCTATGCAGCGTCGCAGTCGACACGCCGAGGCGCGGGCGAAGGCTCTGCGGGCCCGGGCCGAGTACGTGTTGAGCCTCGAGGCGGCCAACGCTACGCTGCAGCGCTATTACCTCGATGACATCGCCGACATAATGCTGTGCAGTGAGACCGGCTACGAGGAGGTGGTCGGGCGCGCCGTGCGATGCGCCGCCGCCGCCGAACGCGCGCGTGCCGCCGCTCTGTCCGGGGCGGCGCAGGCCCTGCTCGCCACCGCCGAGTCGCTGGACGCCGTCGGCGACCGGCAGCGCGTGGTCGCCGCGCATCCGGCCGCCTTCGCGCCGCCCCGGCCCTTGCCCTACGCGGGCGAGTCCCCCTCGCGGCAGGACGCCGCGATGAAGGAATTGCTCGACGGCGCCGCGCCCGACGAGGACGAGGCGGCCGAGGGCCTGCGCCGCGAGCTCGCCGCGCGCCTCACGCAGCTCGAGGCAGCGGCGCGCGCGCTGCGAGCCGAGTGTCGCGAGCACGCCAAGACACTCGACGCCGCCGAGGCGGAGCTCGTCCGCCAGATGGAGGGGCCCGACGCCTGCTGGGACGTGTCCGGTCTCTTCGGCGCCGCCGCCGCTCCTGCCGCGAAACCTGCGCCGGCCGACGACGACGAGGACGACGCGCCCAGGAAGGAACAGGAGGACTACTACTTGGCCGTCAGTATCTCTCTTTTAGTAAAAGCTGCGCATGAGCATGACGGAGACCCAGACTCACGAGAGCGTTAAAATGGCCGTTCAAAGAAGTTCCGGTCGTACGTGTCGTGCGCGGGCAGGCTGGCTCGCCTCGAGAGCAAGGCGGCGGCGGTGCGCGAGCGCCTGCTGGGCGGCGCCTCGGGCGGCGGTCGGTCTCCGGTGGCGGGCGTGCGGCGCGGCGGGCGGCGCGGCCAGTTCGCGGCGCCGCTTGACGATGGGCTGCCGACGCCGCTCGTGTCCTGCGTGCGAGTCATCGCCGGATACGGTCTGCGGCATCAGGGCGTCTTCCGCGTGTCCGGCTCGCAGGTGGAGATGCAGGCGCTGCGGGCCGCATTCGAGCGCGGCGAGGACCCGCTGGCGGACGTGCGCGACGCGTCCGACATGAATTCGGTCTGCGGCCTGCTCAAGCTGTACCTGCGCGAGCTGCGGCCGCCGCTCGTGCCGCCGCAGATGCGGGAGCGCCTCGTGCGCGCCGCCGCCGTCCCCGACGACGCGGCGTTCGCGGCGAGGCTCCGCGAGGAACTGGCGGCGCTGCCGCGCCCGGCGCTGCTCGTGCTGCGCTACCTGTTCGCTTTTCTTGCGCATCTGGCGGAACACAGCGACCGGAACATGATGGACGCGTGGAACCTCGCCATCTGCCTCGGGCCGACGCTGCTGCCCGCCTGGGGCGAGGGCGGCGAGCAGGTGACGGCCCAGAACCTCGTCAACGAGCTCGTGAAGCGCACCATCCTGCTGCACCGCGACGTGTTCCCGCAGGACATCGCCCCGCACGCGCTCTACGTGCCTCCCGAGTCGCCGCGCTCCTCGCCCGGGTGAGTCCCGCCCTTCGCCCTCCGACCGCCGGACGGCTGGCCCGGGTCTCTGACGCCATCCTCGTCTGTCGCAGGGAGGACGAGGCGGACGGCGCGGGCGCCGAAGCGGCCGAGACAGAGCCGAGCGACGTCGACGACCTGGACGACGACGACGAAGACGAGGAGCCTCTCGCCGAAGACGACGCGGGGTGCGTACCGGCTTCCTCTTCCTCTTCCGCTCTTCGATAGAAATTTCGATTATTGCGACTGCGGTAGACTGTGCGGCAAATTATTGAATTTCTCTTCTCTTCATTGAAGACGATGGTGACTGTTATGAGTTGCGGATGCGTTTATATTTATTTTTTATAACGTCTGCCACTTTAGGAGTTAAACGATTCTTATTTACTAGTTATACAATTAGGTTTTGTTTGTTTTTTCCAAGTTTTAATAGCTATTTTCTTTTTTCCATTACATTTTGAGTCTCTTCTCCAATTTGCTGGATGGAAATTTTCTATGTCACAGAGTTCGAAGTATTTCATTGGCATATTTTTCTTCTATCTTGTTTTTGTGTATGTTGTCGGGTATTTACTACTATTATGAGTATTGTTTTTGTGTTGTGTTTGTTCTACTTTTCTTTGGTTCGGTGCATTTTATGACAGCTCTTACTAATCGTTGATTGGTGTTAAAGTTGAATTACAATTTCGTGGGGAGGTGTGCGCAAATTTCTTCTTTCTTCTTCTAGTTGGGGCTTTTTTTTAACAGTTTTTTTCTCTTTTCCAAGACCGCTTTACTAAAATCTTCCATAACAAAAACAATCTTGGGCAGTTTCTTCTTATTTTGCAGAATTTAATTTCTTTTCAATGAATTCCACATTCTAATCACTATACTTTGCGCGCTTTTACTCTTAGCATCCATTTCTTTTAGAACAGCTTCATTGATGTTATTAGTGATAGTTTCTGTTTGGGCCGAATTTGCGCTTTTTATACAGTTGCAAGGGGTGGCCCGGAGTGAAGTACCGTTTCGCCTTGATGAGCACACCAAGCTTTTTTGAGGCTGAACAGCTTGCTAGTTAGTGGACTGTGGAAAGTGTATTTAAGATTTATATGTATTGAATGTCAGGAGTATCTGAATAGTAAATGTAATGTATGTATAAGCAAGCTGCACTAAATGACTAAATATATGAGAGGGTGAGACGTAAGAACCTAACAACCCTACGGATCCCTAAGCCCTACAGACGTACCCTAACACATAAATAGTGAATATATAAATATATAAATAAGTACGGGATGTCTGCACCAAGAGACCTAAGGTGACAGACGGAGCCCTACGGGTAGGATCAAAGGTTCGAGGTAGTGGGATTATCTCAAAGCTACCGGGCAGGCTCACCACGATAATTAAGGGCTTGAAGTAGTCTTCGCCACTTTGAGAGGAAGCGAGAAATGAACAAGACAAAGCAATATTCAAATCTCATTTATTGTTATAAAACAATATCTTAAATACTAATTACACCTATTCACACATACATAATATTTATCTAGTGAGCTGTTGGTGTATCGCGCAACCTCAGCTATTAAAATATGGAACACATATGATCTGAATCAACAGCTGATTAAAATTTAAATAAAATATAATTAAAATTGCTCTTCAGCTGTTAATATTTAGCACACATCGAATCCATGTCAGCAGTTCGTTCATGTTCAAATGATGAAATCTGAACATTCTGGCGCCCCACAGAGTCTGCAAAGGCTGGTACAGCTGTAGAGTCTCCTGCACGCGCGATGTGGTGCGTTGTGGAAGCAGGTTGTTGCCTTAGTTAGAATCTTCACTCACCGATGACCGTAGACCCGTCTGTTGTGTTGGCACCGCATGCTGTCTGTTATTCGTGATAATAAAAATAATTAATTTTACTAACGTTGAAATAATCTTGAAATAGTAAAATTCAAATGAAAACATTTTAAAATAGTTCATGTATTTAAAAAATGTGCTGAACAATGCAGTTATTTATTAATTAACTGCATGTTTTTCCCCCCGCGACACAAAACAATTTTCTTCTAGTCTAGTTAATCGTTTCAATGTTATTTGTTAAATTAACAGCTTTGCTACGTTACATGAAGAAGGCGTTTGTTTATAATTATTAATTCAATGGCTATAGGTAATAAGTATCTATATGTGTTGCGTAAACATACTTGTATTTTCTGCATACGCTTATAAAGTGTGAATAGGTGACATTAAATACTAATTAATATATTATGTAATTTGTATATATAGTTATATATGTTTTTGTTATTAATAAGTCTTGAAGTATAAGTTTAAAATATTATAAACTTGAGTTTCTTCTTCTCCTTCTTCTTTTTATAAATATTATTCTTATCTTGTCTATAAATCGTCCTGCAGCTATCAAGCATTGCACTAATCGTCCATGTGTTTAAGAACGGTGACAATATTCATTGTCTTTTATTTTTGGTTTATCCATTTGGATATGTCGTGTTGTAAATTGTTGTATGGCGGCTGTCGCCCAAGTCGTCGTCTTTGCCTTTTAAATGTACCTATTTGTATTTATTTGTAATGTAGTTGTATAGTTTTGTAATGTATAAATGTATTTGTCAGGCGGCTGTCGCCCAAAAGTATACGTATTTGTATTGTTTTGTAATGTAGTTTTGTAGTTGTCTGGCGGCTGTCGCCCAAATGTATAAGTATTTTTTTTTTTTTTTTTTTTTATTGTATAAGTAAATATTTTTCATAATCCTCCTAAGTTTTGTCGTGTAATCATCTATCTCCTAGCTTCATTTTACGTCTTAATTTAGTATTGAAGTCGTAAGCTTTTAGTAATGGGTACAATAGCGATACATTAAGTAATTTGTTACCAATGTATTCGATGTAAAACCCTGGACCAATCTTCTCAATACTATAAGTTTCTACCGCTATCGTAGTACAAAAAAATTGAAATATTAATAAAAGTGTAAACATGATATTAAATGTCTTTAGTTTCCTATTACACTTGTGATAACAAATTCTTGCCAAATTATTTGAAATCACTGTTTGTTTATTGTTTGTATCGTCATTGTTTAAAGTCGCTTTTTGTGGAATCTCTTCCGGTTCCAAAAATTTAGTTAAATGTTTTACTTCTTCTGTGCGTGTTGTACAACTAAGTACCTTTATTCCATTGTTTTTGTTTCTGGAACAAAATCCTGATAGTATCCACCCAAATTCCGTGTCTTGAGCAAGTATACCGTCTTCTAGTTTTTCAAACCCCTTTAAAAGGATTTTGCTGTATTCCTGAGCACCTAATATTATGTCTATCGGCCCTTTTTTATAATAAGTCGGGTCTGCAATCACTTTATTTTTTAACCAAAGCGATTGTATTTGTTGTACGTCATTACTTGGTAGTGAAGATGTAAGTTTTGGTAATACAACCAGTGATACAGGTAATTTATAATCACTAGAAAGTCTTGGTCGTAATGTTATATCTATACTGTAGCTCGATTGTTTCGGTTCTTCATCCCCGATTCCCTTGATGTCAGCACAGATTTTTTTCTTTGGGTATGCCAATAATTGCGCCACTTCTTCTGTGCAAAAGGACGACTCCGACCCTTGATCACATAAAACTCGCAATAAATGTGGCATGCCGTCGTATGAAGTAGTCTGTACCATAGCTGTGGCTAATAGTACGGTATTATTTGTATGTTTTAATGTGCCAGAAACATTCGATGTTATATTACTCATCACATTAGTTGTTAAATTTTCTGTATGCAGGTTCGTGCATGATATTTTGTCTTTTGGTTCAAAAAATTGTTTTGTCGGTTTGTCTACATGAAGTAACGTATTATGGTCAGGTCGTTGACATGTTTCGCAGAGTTTAAACTTCTCTGTCACGCATTGTTTTGACGCGATATGGTTTAAACAGCGTCGGCACATATTTCTATTGTGAACAACATTATTTCGCTGAATTGCGTTCATTGTTATAAATCGGGAGCAATAATTAATTGTATGTCCATCGATGTCACAATACCAACAATATTTACGTTTTGGTTCATTGTACTGGGTCAGATCGAAATTTAAATTTCTATTCGTTACTTGTTTATTATTATCCGGCTCGAAGGACCATGACCATGAAGAGCAATTTTATTTAAATTTTAATCAGCTGTTGACTCAGATCATATGTGTTCCATATTTTTAATAGCTGAGGTTGCGCGATACACCAACAGCTCACTAGAAAAATATTATGTATGTGTGAATAGATGTAATTAGTATTTAAGGTATTGTTTTATAACAATAAACGAGATTTGAATATTGCTTTGTCTTGTTCATTTCTCGCTTCCTCTCAAAGTGGCGAAGACTACTTCAAGCCCTTAATTATCGTGGTGAGCCTGCCCGGTAGCTTTGAGATAATCCCACTACCTCGAACCTTTGATCCTACCCGTAGGGCTCCGTCTGTCACCTTAGGTCTCTTGGTGCAGACATCCCGTACTTATTTATATATTTATATATTCACTATTTATGTGTTAGGGTACGTCTGTAGGGCTTAGGGATCCGTAGGGTTGTTAGGTTCTTACGTCTCACCCTCTCATATATTTAGTCATTTAGTGCAGCTTGCTTATACATACATTACATTTACTATTCAGATACTCCTGACATTAAATACATATAAATCTTAAACACACTTTCCACAGTCCACTAACTAGCAAGCTGTTCATTGGTAATATAGCCTTCCCTTCCAAATGACCTCGAAACTAAACTAAAAAAATAGCAATGATGTTAATTGTTATTGCAAATTTTCGGAAAATACATAGGGGAAGGTCCCTTCGTACGGTTTTCACATTTAATTTTTTTATTATTTTATTTTTCCATGAATCGATCATCTGCAAGCTTAAATTTATAGTCTAACTATCTGAGATTCATATAAGTAAATGACAAATGATTTCATCTGATTGTTCAACCATAATTATGATTTAAACTAAATCTGGAAAACGTACGAATCTACCCCATCAACGGGGCACCTTCGTACAGTGTTGAGGGTACCTTCGTACGCTGTGGGGTAGTTCCGTACGTGCGATTAAAACAACACATATAAATCAAAATTCATTTATTAGCAATGAAATTAAACACAAAAATAAAGATTTAACTTCTATTAAACAAAAATAAAATACTTTAATTATAGTGAACAAAAATTACATAGCTTTTCTTAAGAAAACCAAAATTTAATTAGTTAGGTATCTTAAATTTAGAATCACATTTTTTAATCTTTGGTGCGGATTAGCACTTCTTATTTTCGGGTGTGGCAGTATAAATTCGTGGTTTTCCTGGCCGTCGTCGTCATTTTGTTTGTTTTATTACTTCTTACAACATGCGGATAGAGTCGAAACGCTTCTGGTGTCAAAACTGACTTCGAAGGAACTACTATTTGATGGATTGGTAAATTATTCAAAGCATCTGGTTCACAGGCATCAAAATCAACCTTAATAAAGATAATAAAAATAGGTATTAATATACATCGACGATAGCAATGATAGCAACACAGGACAAAGTTAATGCAAATATTAGCAATTAGCACACTAACACAATCTTTCCTACCTACCAGAGGGTTTAGTCAAGATGCCTTATTATTATTTGTATGTAGCAAGTGGAAAACTTAATTTGTATGAAAATGACAGTTCGTGTCGACAAAATATTTTCATACAAATTTAGTTGTACAATTCGTTCAAATGTGCCCCATCTAGTGCTGTCCGAAAGTACCCCACTAACTGAATAACAACAAAATATAACTTATTTTAATATTAATAGGAAAAAGTCATAAATTAAGTATTGGAGACGTATCTAAGTATATTTAGCTAGTTACTGATAGAATACTCTACACGAAAACTTATTTTATCTACGGTAACAAGAGACAAAAACATTGATCAAAAAATTACTTACCGAGCGCGAAAACACGTCCATGCCTGTAACTTCACTCTCATCGGTGCGAATTTCGCGAAACTTCGTTGATGTATAGTTCGTACCTCGACTCATGCACACATACAAAAACAAGACTGTACTTTGTTTCGTTCAAGTTTTATTTCGACTGTATGAATGTGCCCCGCGTACGAAGGGTAACGATCTTCCCCTACTAGACGTCGACTTCGGTAGTATCAAAGAATAAGTCTGGGGCTAAGTTTACTTGTGTCGAAATAAAAACGAATTCAGATTAATAGGATACGATAGTTTACATTTTAGAGGTTCAGAAGTGTCGTAGGAATATCGTCATATTTCACCGTAAAGTCATTACCTAATAGGAACACAAAACATGTCTCCAGCGAAAAAGCTGCACCGAGGCGCTCTTGGCGTTTCTAAAATTGTGTGTTTCGCGCAAATATCCTAGAATTAGCGGTTATATCTTTGTAATAAATTGGGATAACTTACGTTATTAATGTAATAACCATACGTAGCGTCATATGACTTTGTGAACTTACATTCCTAGATGTAAAACGCAAAGCACGAAGCAGTGCGAGGCGCGCTACCAGCTTTGAAAGAGAGCTGTCGGCGACGTCAAAGAATTTTGTGCAGTGTTCAAAATTTGTTGTGGGTCGATCTACTTTGTTGCATGTTCGACGATTATTTTATGTATGGAAATTGTTATTTTATTACGTACGAGTACTTGTTAAATTAAACGTAATCATCTTTCGAATAAAATGCGCTTGTGAACTAAATACAATATTTAGGTTTTAGTAAGAAAGTTACTGCTGTTCCCGAGTTTATGTTAGCAAATATTAATTCACATTTATTTGTACCTAAAGGTTATTGGTGCTTATGGTGCTATCTTATCCTATTAATCTGAATTTGTTATGAGTGAACAGCACCTCGTCCCGCCCATTTTTTGTTTGTTTAGAGAGCACTTTTAAATATTTTTTAACTGAAATAACGTAAACCGTACCGCATCGTGTGCGGTCCGCGTGTTGCCTGAATCTGCCACGACGCCGCGCCAAGTTCTAATTTTACATTTACTGCAGTTCTTAAATCAAGGGCGTAGAATGGAAGAGAAGAACTGGCAATAAACTCTCCGCCACTCTTTTTGATCGCCAAGTTTTTTGTTTTACACAACGTTTGTAAGGAGCTGAAACCATTACACCATGTTCCACGTGACATCTTTAGTAATAAATAATAATAAAATAAATTAAAAACAAAGATTTGTCATCTATCAGCAGGAGGCATGGTGGACTAGAAGCACGCACTTACATTCTCGTGGGAACAACACGCAAATACATAGTCGAGGCGTATAATCCCACTATAATTATAATTTTTCTTCTTGTTGATTTCGAAATTTAAATTTGGCACGTAAATAATGATGCCAGAATGCTTCAAGTGACGTGCAAACACTAATACAATATATTGTCATCCCCGTAAAGCGAAAACTCATTAAGTCAAGATTCAGACTTCTTTCTTTTCACTTTCCAACCGGAAATGACGTAGTTCCAAAGGAAAGTAAGTAAATGTATTTGGTCCCACCGGAAGAAATGAGAATTTTCAAAAAAATCTTATCATATTCAAATCTTATTATTCTTATCTAAAGAAAAGAAAAGGAAAAGGAAGGAAATTAGTTTTATAATAAAATGTTTAATCGCTAAATATGAGTATAGATTAAATTCGTATAACTTGGAATCTCTGAGCGTTCGTAGAGCAAACATCGACTTGTCGTACCTTTTTAAAGTAATTAGCGGAATTGTGGATTGCCCGGAAACTTCAGAACGTATATAAGTCGAACTGTCCAATTAAATGGTTATGTCGCTACCATAATGACATTGCACTCCTCGGCTAAGCGAAGAATTACGACACGGCACCGATAATTCAATTAGTTTATCTCTATTTATAGTTTTATTTTTTTATTGACAAATAGTATTATCACTGTTTTGTGTTTTTGTTTGGTCCTGTCCGCATGATGTAGGGACGGCACCGCTTTTCATGTTTTCATATGTACGTCAATTTGTTTGTTTATATCTACATATCACAATCCGTGTTTGGCCTAATTTTCTGGTCCAAATAGAAAAACCTTATTTAGGTAATTTTTAAATTCAGCACAGCCAAAACGCTCAAGCTGCTCTTCAATGTTATATAATGATATCATTATAATATAATTGGGTTCTACTACTTTTGTACTTCTTTTATAACAAAAGCGGATCAAAAAAAATTTACACCGCCCACGTCGATTGAACCATTGTCAACTCCAAAAAGAAAATTTATCTGATATTAGCGAGAAAAGAAAATCTGCTATGATATTTATTAATGCTAGTGTATAACTCCTTCGAATAAAGAGGAAATAGGTTCAGAAAAAACTAACAATAAGTTCTCTTATCTTAAAAACGGGAAATCTCAGGAGGAAATAAGACATTTGTACGATGATCATATAAAAGCAGACGCAGACAGCCGATTTCACATTCACTCACCGTGAGAGAGTTAAATTGTCATGTTTTATTCCGTTTTCTACGAGTTAAGAGTGAGATCGGCTTTCTGCTCCAGTCTCCGGAAGTTGGATCCGGAGAGCGCAGAGTAACGCAGCCCCATTGTCCGCAGGTGCCCGTCGGAAGACCTCGCCCAGGTACACCCACGACACGCCCCACACTCCGTCCATCTACCGTATATCTACACACGCATTCCACAGTCACCCCACACTCACCCCACACTCACCCCACACTCACCTAACACTCACCCCACACCCTGTAATACGTCCGACGTCCTCGTCACTACTGGCATCTATTGTGTGAAAAGTTGCGCGAGGCTTTGCGGTAATGTGGTTTACAGTGTGTCTTCGAGTCGCTCACTCGCTTATCGAACGGTCGATCGTTTGTGTAATTATTTGTACGAATTCATTGCTTTATTTGTGAAAATGTCAATAATGGATAAATAAAATACATAATTTTCATCGGTCGACGAGCGTACGAGCGCCCGCATCGATATAAAGGTTTTTATAAAGGAATCCAGGTCCCGGAGCGGCTTCGCTCCCGAGCGCGTCGACGAAGGGCAGCCGCGAGCTTCGCCCGCGACCGTCGACGACGTCGTCTCCGCCGCCCTAGCCCCGCCGGGGACCGAAGCGTGAGTGTCTCGCTTCGCCCGTCGACCACCCGAACGATTCGATCTAAACGGGCTCTCGTCGCAGGCGGCTGGCCGAGAGCACGCCCGACCTGGTGCTGGACCTCCCGGCGAGACGCCGCGCCGCTGGCCCCGCGCCCTCTGACCCGCCGCCCCCCGCGAGCCCCGTGCCCGCGCGCAACACGCTGCGCGTCGCCGCCAAGTTCGCCGAGCTCACGCTCACCGGGGGCTCGCTGAAGCCCGCCCTCGCCGCCAAGCCGGCCCTGCTGCGCCGTCCGACGCCGCACCCTGCGCGTCCGCCGCCCGCTCGCCCGGCGCTCCCCGACGACGCGGAGGTCTAGGCCGCCGTCGTCTCTCACGAAGTCACCAGCGCACAACGCATCCTTCCTCCGACGATCGGATCGGAAAAGACTCGTCGGACGACCGTATTTACAATGTTTAATTAATTAAGTGCTACTCTGTAAGCTTTAACGACGCCCGACTCGCCTCCGACGAGACGAGTGAGTTGCCATTTTGAGATTATATTCTTCGCATTTCGTGTCATTGTGTATATTTTTGTACGCGAGCCGTGACTTTTGTATCGCGCGTAGGCTAATATATTTTTGTACGAATAAACGGTATCACTCGCTCGCTGTCTTTGTCCTCCTCTCTCTCGGCGAATGAAACACGGCACTGGTAATGAATAATAATTTATTAAGCGAACGAAACGGACGTCTCCTCCGACGATCAGTAGCGCAGGCAATGGTCGTGGTGCAGCGCGTGATGCAGCTGAGGCGGCGGCGGCGGCGCGGCGTTCTCCTTGTCGCGCGCATAGGGCGGCGGCGGCGCGCCGAAGTCGCTCAGCGGCGGCGGTTCGTACTCGTCGCCCGAGCCGTCCGACGCCTCTAGGTAGCCGAAGAGCCGCGCCGCGCCCGCCGCGCGCGTCTCCCTCCGTCGACCGCCGCCCGGCGCCGAGCCCGCGGCCGACCCCGCCGCCGTGGCTGGGACGCCTCCGGCGGTAGCGCCTGCGACGCCGCCGCCGCTCGGCTGGGATCCGCTCGGGAAGCCGCCGCGCGTCACGCCGCTCGGCACCTTGAGGTTGCGGTTCTCGACGTGACTGTGGACGCAGAGAGAGACGCGTGAGTGCGTGGGGGAACCGGAGTTCCGGGCGCCGGACGGGGCGGATACGCACTGGTGGTCGCGGAGGTGCGCGGCGAGGTGCGCGGCGTCGTCGGCGAGGAAGGGGCACTTGGCGCAGGCCTTCTTGTTGTGCACTTTGTGCACGTGCGTGGCCAGTCGCTCGGCGCGCGCCGCCTTGTACTCGCACAGCGCGCACGCGAACGGCTTCAGGTGCGTGTTGAGGTGCCGCTTGAGGCACCAGTTGTCCACGCCAGACCACGCGCAGTAGCAGCACGCGTAGCGCCGCTCGCTCTGAGGCTTTAACCGATTACCATTCTGCGTTATCGTTTGGAGCGACTCGACGGATGATATTTTATGTCGCGATTACAGTTTATAAATAAATAAAATAATTACTTATTGCCAAAGTTGCGTTTGTAAACATTATATATACTTGTTCAAACAAAAGTTTGTCTCACATGAATTCATTATAAAAAGATATCTTTAGGATAGATGTAACCGACTATGATTGTACGCCAGCAACTGTGGCCTTGGCGTACATCTTGAAAAATGTTATATACCTTCCTACCTGAACCTTTTCATAAGTGTTTAGTAGTGGTATGTTTAATTCCGTGCAGTAGTTTTTGAGTTTTTCGCAAACACTTGTTATTATATTTGACATTAAAGTCTAAAACCCGTCTTATTATCGAGCTCTGCAACAAACCGAATCGCGGATGACGAAGAAGTTAGATGAATACGTGAGCTTACTTTGCGCCGCACGGGGATGGGTGCGGCGGTTTTGTGGGAGGCGGCCGCGCTCTCGGCCTTAGCGAGCGGAGCGCGTTCCGCCTTGACCGGCGCGGGTCGACAGTCGGGCTGAGTCGCCACCGGTGAACCCATTGTGCCTTCCGTCGCGGCCTTGCCGCCTCCGCCCGAATATTGCGCAGCGCCGCTGGACACCACGCCCGCCGCCGCGCCTTTCCCGCTCGCCCGGCGGATGCGGTTCAGATCGTACGGCTGATCGCGGTGCATGCGAAGGAAGTGTTTCTTGACGTGGTCGGCGCGGTTGAATTGTTTCTGACAGAGATAACAGTGGAAGGGTTTTTCATCGCGGTGAATGTTCTCGTGGCGCGTGAACAGGTCGCGGCGGTCTGTCGCGTACGGACACGAGCCACAGGCGTACCGCTTGCCGACCTCGGCGGCGTTGCCGCCGGCCGTCGCCGCGACGCTCTCCCCGACGGGGAGGCTCTCGCCGGCACCCGAGTTAACGCCGCCGGCGTTCCCCGTAGATCTTCTCTCGGTTCGAGCCGCTTCCACCTGAAATTATGAGGGATCGTGGTGAGACGCTGGCAACGAGAGAGGGCCATAGAGGCGAGCGTGACGCACCTTGGTCTTGAGGCGCTGCAGATAGCGCGTGAGATCGTCGAGGGCGGGGTTGTCTCTGAGCAGGTGGTCGGCGGCCGCGGGGTCGGAGTGGTGGTCCCGCGCCAGATGGTGTCGAACGGCGCGGGCCCATCCGCTGGCAAATCCGCAGCCGGCCAGCGGACACTGGAAGGCGCGCGCCTGCGAGTGGGTGCCGAGCCAGTGCTCGGCGACGCGCGCCAGAAAACCGACACATTCGCACTCGGTGCACTTGAAGAGCCGTTGCGCGGGGTTGTAGGCGGCGATGCGCGAGTGCGCCCACGCCAGCGGCTCCTCGGCGGCCGTCCAGCGGTCCTCGGCCGTGGGGTCGGTGCGCGGCGTGAAGTTGGCCTGAAGGATGCCCGGGGGCGGGAAGCCGTTCTGCATGAGCGCGGCGAGGCCCCAGGCCGTGATGTGCTCCTCGGGCCGCATCTCGTCCTCGGGCAGCTCGCGCTCGGCCGCCGGGAACTCGACGCCCACGACGCCGCTTATGCCGACGCCGACGGTTGCCTCTTCGCCGTACAGCTTTTTGGTTATCTCCTTGAACATATCCTCGCAGTCCATCGCGAGAGAGGCCACGCCGGCGCCGCTGTCCATTCTCGGCCTGTGGCGGCTCCGCGCGAACGCGGAAGGCTCGGAGTCGGCGGCCGCGGCCGGGCCGCGAGGCCGCCGACGCGTCGGCCCGATCGGGACACGGGCGCGAAATGCGGGAGGCGGGTGGGGGTCCGCCTACTCGTTCGGGTGCCGGGTGCTGGCCGCGCGGCGGGTGCGAGCTAACTAGGCGGCGGCGGCCGGCTGCGCCGACATCGATCGCCTTTGCGCGCGCCGTCCGCCTCACCGCCCGATCCCCTGCCGCCCGCCGCGCCGCTATCGACCCGCGACCCACGCTTACCTAGCTTTTCCCTTTTCTATGGAGAATAAGTTACTACTCAATTTCACTTGAAAGTATATTAATATAAAAACCTTATTATAACTGGTAACTAAAATTAACTCAATGAAAATACAAGAATGCAGTTCTGTTCTTCTATCTAATGGTTATCGGTAGAATCGTCATAAGTAGTTGTTTCTAAAATAAATTCCTAATCGGCGAGGTCTGCCCGACTATAGGCACTCCACAACCAAAGTATATATTTCACTTATATCCATTTTTATTCTGCAAAATTAAGCGGAAGAAAGAAAAGCATTATGGTTCGACTAACCCGTGCACTCGACATTTGCTGTATTTTAATTTTGACTATACTAATGGTAAATTGATTACCGAATGCTTACTTTTATAACAGCGCTGTTAGGCACTAGGTGTAGTGAGAATATGGGTCGATGGGGGCAGAGGGTGGTTCTCGTGAATGAATTAAACGCCCCTAACAATGCCCCCCGAGAATCGACCATGCCTACATCGACAGCTAGGACGGACATTAAAAATTTAAGGCGCACCGACGACCTACTTAAGTTCGTTATGTCGCAGCTAATTACAAATATATCGTGATTCGATTTTTTTAAAGTTTCACTCACGAAACTTAAAAATTTCAAAATTATCAAGGAACGTACAAAGGTACGTAATGATTATTTAAGAATCAAGGTAATCAACTGATTAATTTAACTAAATTGAACTCGAAATATACAGTAATTGTCGGATACGCGACGAACGAAGTCACCGTGACCTAGCCCTTATCGATGCCGAATAAGTTATCATACTATATTTTCCTACCGATTAAACAAATACCTTAATAAAAACATCGCAACGCGCCTATAGTTTTCAGACATGAATGAAAATGGCCGATGGCGCGAAGAGCTCGTACAAAATCGATAGGCGCCGGCGAGTGTGCGGCGAGTGTAGGCGCGCTGCGGGCCTAGTTCATCGACCTGCGCGGCGGAGTCGTCGCGCGTGCGCGGCGGGGGCGGCGGAGTTCGGCGTCAGTCGCGCCCCGGCCGCGGCCTCTTCCGTCAGTCCGCGCCATGCCGCGCCCGCGACGCCGCTAGCGCGGGCGTGGCCGGCCCGCCGCCCGCCCAGCCCGCCTAAAGCGGGCCGTGTGAAGCCGTGCCGTGCCGATATCCATTCGACGCATCGCGACTGCGAGTTTGCCGCCATGCTGTCCGGGGATTCGCTCTAGGAAGCGCTGGTGTCTTCGAATTCGGCCGGAGCCGTCGGTATGTCCCGTCCCGATCAGACCGCGGTGTCGACGTTCGCGTGAACCGCTGCGAGCCCCGCTTTCCTCTTCTCAACTCTAGGTTCAGACGAGCGTAGCGCGGGTCTTCCGGCCCGCGGAGCAGGCTGACGATCGCGCGGAGATCGGTCTCGGCCGTGAGATGATACATTTTATATCCCTATCTCTCTCTATCTCTCTCGTTGAGGCCGCTCGTTGATGATACACACGCCACGATATCATGGGACGGTGCCATGTTTAGTGGAAAGCGTAAATAATGAAGAACAATGCGTTGCAGATGTGCAGCGTGTCGGTGCCGCGCGGCCCGGCCGCCGCCGCCGCTAAGCCTTGCTGTCTCTGCTGGTGCTGTTGCTGCTCCTGCTCCTGGTGGGTAATCGCACCGTACCCCCACTTTTTGTTTTATATGGTTACGCGATTGTCAACTGCTGAAAAATATAATTTAACACTACTATTACTGTCCAGACCCGACCGCCAAGACTAATATAACACAGCGCTAAGCACTTCATTTCCTCCCAATAATAATTAGGCGCCTGATCTTAATTTAAGAGCAAACTTGTCACCGACAAAATATTCTCGGATGATGGATGGATCGCGTACGCGCCGAACGTACGTGAAATAGTTTAGAAAGGCAAGCGTTTTATATATTTTTTTGAAGTAACTAAGTTCCGTCTTAGTTGCCCTTCACACACACACCAGTGTTGTGTCACTGACAGTTTTCTACACCTCGATAATTGTATTTTAAGAAACATAAAATACAACCTAGAGTAGTTTTAAAATATTATATATGGGAAGCCATGTCTTTTGAAAATGTTTCACGATTTTTCTGTTCTTTAATAAGACGATTATTATTTTAGTGAAATATGTTGCTTTACACATTTTTTACACTTGTTCCTTTGGCAAGTGACGATTTGCTTTAAAGCGTTCGAGACGATGAGCTAAATGTGATGTATCGTTTCAGGGCTAAGTGGTAAGTGCGGCCTTCGGCGCCTCACCCCCCGTTCCCTTTTACGCGCGCGACGTAAGTGGTGGGTAAGTGTGAATTATAATACGAGCGTAAGCGATAAAAGCTGGGACTGTGCAGGTTGGCGGCGCGCGGGCCCGACGGCGGCCCCGGCAGGAAGCCGCGCGACCCCGGCACTTCGCCCTCCGAGCCGTTGCTCGACGGAGACGCGCCGTGAGTAGCCGCCCCTCGCGCTCCTCCGCCCTTCGGCCCCTCGCACGCTCACCTGCTTCTCGTTGCAGGCCCACGCTTGACGAGATCCGCGGCTGGGGCGAGTCGTTCGAGCGGTTGATGCGCAGCGCCGCCGGCCGCAAGGTGTTCCGCGACTTTCTCCGCGGCGAGTACTCCGAGGAGAACATCATGTTCTGGCTGGCTTGCGAGGAGCTCAAGCGCGAGACGGACCCCGACGCCGTGGAGGAGAAGGCGCGCTTCATCTACGAGGACTACATCTCGATCCTGTCGCCCAAGGAGGTGTCGCTGGACTCGCGCGTGCGAGAGACGGTCAACCGCAACATGGTGGAGCCGACGCCGCACACCTTCGACGAGGCGCAGCTGCAGATCTACACGCTCATGCACCGCGACTCCTACCCGCGCTTCGTCAACTCGCCGCTCTACAAGGCGCTGGCCCGGTTGCCCGCCGTGAACTCTGAGTGACGCCCGGTGTACATAGTACTTCCCACTTCGACGTAAGGTAGTTAATTATCATTGAACGGGTACTAATTTTGTATATAGTTAGGTAAGTGACGCGCGAAAGAGAGGCGCGGGTGGCGTCGAGACGACTCCGCCGCGCCCCTCGACCCCTTCCCCCCGACCCCTTCCCTTCTCGCCCCTTCACCCCCTTCCACCCTACGAAACCCTCCCGTCTGCATTGCTCGAAAGCAATAATGGTGGACCAAATAAGTTTGCCAGTGAGTCAACGAATAAATCTGTTCATGTATTTCGGTGTTTCATTCTGAGCGAGTTCTCGATTTATCTTCTAAATGAAATTGCCGCTAAGGCTGTTTCAATATTGTAACTTTTTTGCCCGCGAACTCGCCACTTAAAAGTATGTATGTACGACGAGAGGCGATATGAGCAGTAAATGTTTCCTAAGAATAAAGAATAAGAGGAGATACATAATAATGTATCGTAAAATTAAAAGTAGTAATACTAAACTCGATACAAAGAAACTATTCTCCATTTTTTATAAGAAATATAAATTTTCTTGTACCAAAAGTTGTGTTTAAATTCTCTAAACCCTCCGCTGTAACCCTTCAACGTGATGAAAACAAGTAAGTTGACAACAATTATGAATAACCTAATATTATGACATTATAAAAATGAATATATGTGACCACAGAACGGTTCGAAAGACGTTGACGCAACTCGTTTTAAGAAGCAGTATTAAGCCCCGAAGACATAAGTTGATATGTTCTCGATTACAACGAACTGAGCTTCGTGTCTGACTTGGAACGAGTTTAAGAAAATGTTTATTTTATTTATTTATTTTATTTCAAAAGGCACACTAACGAAACACATACAAACACTTTCAGAGAACACATAACATAGAAAACAAGATACATGCATGTGCATCAATAACAAGTGTGCACAACATTTATAGGGAAACATGACAATGATGAAGAGAAAATAACTTCAACATTAAAAGTAAAAAACAAACTAGATTAAAAGAAATACAAACATGCAATTTACAAATACATATAAAAAAAACAAAACCAATAATTTTCAACTTTGCAATTATCACTATTGGTCACGGATCAACATTGGCTGCAGCATCTTACGCCTGAAGACATGGAGACTGTCACTAAATGGATCTGCTTGGCATGTACTCAGAGCGTCGTTTAATGTCGATAGAGATCTGTGTAGAGGAGCATTACAACCGACGTTGGTCCTCACTGCCCGAACGTAAAAAAGGATTGAAGTGTTTCTTGTGTTCCTCTTTAAGAGGAAGTTAACTTGTTAATGTTATAGGTACTACAATTAAATTATGACTTAAAAGAAATATAATGTAATATAGTTGACATATTTGTAATTTCTAGGAGCGAAAATGTGAAATGAAAAAACTAGAGCTAAAACTGACGTGGCAGAATTTATTGGCAACAATAATTGTTTGTGAACTGGTTTTCAGGCTGTAAAGGCACGGCGCGCGGTGTGGTCTCACTCGGCTGCAGACTTGCAGTGTTAGGCACTCAGTATCAGCCGTCAAATTATATATTGACCTTTGCTGGACCAGGCGTGTAGTACTTTCGACTGTAGTTAGGAACTACGAATTACGAACATATATCCTATATGTTCGTAATGGTTATGATTAACATGGGATGACTCTTTAGCAGGTGAATTGTTAAGTGTTTACTTATTTATTTATTCAGGAGATTCACAGCACAATACAGAAATATATGTATATTGTATACATATTATATAACATTGTGGGCCATTGGGTTCGGGAGATTTGCCTCGCGATCTGATTAAAAGATTACCTCTGTGTTTTGGTCTGCCACGTTACAAAATCTGTTCACCTGGAGGTGGCGGCGTCACTCAGTACATCACTCAGTTTTTGCCAATTTTTAGTTACACCCTCAATTTTAAAATTTCTTAGTGAGTGTTTGTGCATATTCTGAACTATTTTAAAGGCAAAGTATTAGTAGGTAATATCAATATTATCAGTCTAATATACTAATTTCCTCCTTATCCCTACAACTGACAATTGTGTGCCTTTCTTCATGTTATGAATATATCGAAACGAAGTATTTACTCAGGGCTTATTTATTTAAGACTAGCTGATCCGGCAAACGTCATTTTGCCATGTATATCATTTATAATAAAAAATAGGGATTGATCGTAGAGGGGTGAAAGTTAGGGGTTGTATTTTTTTATGCTGTATCATAAAAAAATAAAAAATAAGTAATTTATCTAAAAATTAAAAAAAATAATTTAGTGGTGGACTACCCTTAACATTTAGGGGGATGAAAAATAGATGTCCGATTCTCAGACATACACAATAAGCACACAACATTTCATGAGAATCGGTCAAGCCGTTTCGGAGGAGTATGGCAACGAAAACTGTGACACGAGAATTTTATATATTAGATAAAATAGTGCACACCGAACCGTTCTTTCTGATATAAACAGTGTGTAGAACGTTTCATTTTGTCATAAAAATAAATGTGAAATTTATTATATTGTTAATTAATTAAACTGCATAAAGTAACGAGGCTTATATACTGCTCAAAACAATTAGCGGAACAAGATTTTTCTCCTTTCTATTGCTTAAACTAAAATTAGATTTAAATTAACTTGTACGCTATTTTTTACCTTGTTAATTTGTTAATTACTACAATTAATAAAAAAATTCAATTTGTATTTTTTTTATTAAAAAAAATTAAAATGTGCATTGTAGACGAAAAACTAATTGGTGATAAAAAAGGTCCATCAAAGAAATATTCTTATATCGTTTGAATATTCGTCTTTAGTGACTTTCAGTAACGTGTGTGGCCTCCATGAGCCCTAATCACGGCTTGACAACGACGCGGCATGCTTCGTATGATCCTCCGAATATCTTCTTGTGGAATTCGCTCCCATTCTTCAATCAACGCTTCAGTGAGCTGCTGCAGTGTTTGAGGTGCAATCTTACGCTTCCGGATGCGCCTGTCAAGCATGTCCCAAATGTGTTCAATTAGATTTAGGTCAGGGCTCATGAAAGGCCACTCCATTACACGGATTTCCTGCTGTCGTAAGTAATCTGATGTGATGGCTGCAGTATGCGGCCTGGCATTATCTTGCATTAAAAGAAAATCTGGGCCCATACCATATGCTGCGGGCCAAACATGATCTTCGAGCACATTTTCAATGTAAGTTTGAGCACACAAGCGCCCGGGAACAACGACGAGATCTGTGCGCTCGTCCAAACTAACTCCGCCCCAAACCATCACAGAGCCACATCCAAATTTGTCATATTCCTGGACTGCTGCTGCACTGTATCGCTGGCCTGGGCGTCTGTAAACACGGAGACGACCATCGCAACGTGTTAGACGGAATCGTGATTCGTCAGTAAAAAGCACTGGCCTCCAATGTCGAAGTTGCCAATTAGCGTGATTTTGCGCGAACCGTCGGCGAGCTTGTCTATGTTGAATTGTTAGACGCACAGCCCGAACTCATCGGCGTGATCTCAAATTGGCTTCCAACAACCTATTTCTTACCGTCTGATCGGAAATTTCTACACCAGTAGCCGTCCTTAGTGTATTTTGTAGATCTCTTGCAGTTGTGGTGCGGTTACGTAAAGCACAGTTGACGATGTAGCGATCTTGCAAACGTGTAGTTTTTCTCTTTCGACCTTGACCACGCCTTCGTGAGTATTCTCCCGTCTCACGGTATCGCTTCCAAAGTCTGTAGATAACAGAAGGGGCTACTCCTAGATCATTTCCTACATAACGCATAGTTCGACCCTCTTCAAGCAAAGCGGTAGCTCGGGAGACATGCAATTCAGTCAGATCTGGTATTATGACCTAAACTCACTCGCTTCAATGAATAACAATACTCAAAAGGCTCACTTCAATTTCTATTAATACTCAAAAGATTGAAAAAAACTACTTAAAATGTGTTTTCTGTGATTAGAAAGTAATGAAAATTCAAAGACGTCACTTTGTTTTTCGTCTACAATGCACATTTTAATTTTTTTTTAATAAAAAAAATACAAATTGATTTTTTTATTAATTGTAGTAATTAACAAATTAACAAGGTAAAAAATAGCGTACAAGTTAATTTAAATCTAATTTTAGTTTAAGCAATAGAAAGGAGAAAAATCTTGTTCCGCTAATTGTTTTGAGCAGTATATATTCTAAATTTCTGCTAAGCAATGTAATTCATGCAGTTACTCCATAAATTTATACTATGACGTGCAGGTAAGTAAAATTAAAATAAATAAATAATATTATATTGTTTTTAAGCATGCATAGATAATATAATAATGTCCAATGAATAATTGTATTATTCATACAATAACAATAATAACAAAATACTAGGTCCTTACATATGAAATTGGCGTTTTGTATGGGAGGAACAAAAAGTCGAATATTTTTAAATATAATATATTTAATTAATCAAAGTATGAACCATTGTTTTCTATGCACTTTTGCCATCTCATAGTTAGTTCATTGATACCTTTACTAAAAAAAACAGTCGGACGGGAATCAATAAAATCTGTGAAGGCGATTTGGACTGCCCCATCAGAGTTAAATTTTTTCCCTTGCAAGAAGTTGTCCAAATTTCGAAAAAAATGGTAATCTGTTGGAGCAAGGTCCGGGGAGTACGGAGAATGTCTTAAACATTCCAATTGAAGCTCTTCTAATTTGGTAGCCGTCTGTTGTGCAGTGTGTGGTCTAGCGTTGTCGTGAAGTAGCAGTGGCGTGGAGCGATTGACCAGCCTAGGTTGTTTAGCCGCTAGCTTTTCCATCATGGTTTGCAATTGCTGACAATAGACATCAGCCGTAATAGTCTGGCCAGATTTGAGAAAACTGCAATGAACAATACCGGCACTAGTCCACCAAACGCTTACAAGTAACTTTTTTGGGGTTAATTTTCGCTTGGGGCAGGATTTGGCTGGCTGGCTAGGATCCAACCATTGCGCTGAGTGTAAAGAATCCATTTTTCATCACAGGTAA